CCCCGCCCCCGGATCTTCTTACCTGTTTAGGTTGCTCTAATATTTGAAGGTATGGGCCATCTGCTAAAAACAAAAACAACAAACAGAAACCAAAAGAGACTGTGAGGCTTCTAAATATGGCATGACATAAAAGCAAGTAAACACATGAAGTCATGTTCTCAGATCGCCTCGTCGCTAGCGTCCCCCAGATGTAGCTCATCTTCCTCTCTGGGGGCAGACTGAGGCGGCACCAGCCTGCAGGGCCGGGTCTGCAAGCTAAGCGTCTTCAAACACCTCTGCGATCTAAAGCAGCCACTTCCTGGCAGTGGACTTGGCCTCGGCCTCAGCGGCATGGCTTCCTTCAGGGATAGAAGGCACTTAAGAGACGTGTGAGAGGCGGACAGGCAGCAGTGGGCTTCCTTCTGGGTGCCCTGGTGCCCGGGGCCCTTCCTCTTTGAGGCTCTCGAGGCCGCCTTCACGCCCACAGCCGGCCCAGCTCCCAAGTCTCACGGTGCTAGCAGACACTGGCCTTCAGCTTTACGAATCCACAGCACCTGATGCTGGTCCAGAACGTGTGGACAACATGCTCTCCTACAGACTCTGCTCGAAAATAGCACAGTCACTGTGTAAAGCCCTGAATATAATGCAACTGACTTATATGCCAGGCAAACTATTATAAATACACAGAAAACTAGCTTATCCCGTCCCCCGACCACATCTGACTTTGGAATTCAAAGGCCAGCCAGAGCCTCTCTCACATAAATACAGATCGGTCTGGCATGAAAATGCGCCTGAGCTCCCAGCTGTTGTGTATGTCACAGCGTAATAACCCCAGCTCGTGACGATAACGCATATGGTGCTGTTTCTCACGCTTGGTACAAAAAGAGAGTGTACAAGAACCTTCTGCGTCTTTGTGCTCTCTAGCCACAAGGTCTAGACCTATTCTTTCAGACGAATAAGACATTTGTGAAGCAAAGCCAAATTTTCAGGTTGAAATGAAAAATGAACTATGATGTAAGTCCTTATTTTAAATCTTGTCCATATAATGATAAGTCAGGATAAGGCTAGAGAACTGAAGGGCCCCAAAATGCAGTTATTTCTGCTTATTGTTCAAGGAATTCATGAGAGTTGAAAAATGACTGAAGTTGAAGTGGAAAATGTACAGGGAAAAGCAAGCAGAAACTGGCCAGAAGAATATCATTTAAAGTATATATTCTCTTTGTAGAAAATTCATCCGTGGATATTTTAAACTTTAAGAAAAGAAATTGTTACTGATCCCCCCCCCCCCCACCACCCACAGAGGGCAAGAAATTAATTTTTGGTAAAGAAAGCCAACTAGACACTGACATTTTGCACACCACACAGTCTACATGACAATATAACAGTCATGGGAATAAGCTTCCGCCAGAGCTCGCAGGAAGGCGGCGTCTGACAGGTGTGTGTCCTCTCAGGGGAAGTGCTGGCCCTATGTTCCCGTTAACCTCAAGCTCCTTGCTCCCTCAGAGCGCTCCTGAAGAGCTGGACGTTGTACTATTTCTCCCGTATGATTCAATTTCCTTTAAATATGTGAGAAGCTAGGGTTTGGGCCTCGTGAAACGGAGCTGTTTTCCTCTTGGGGGAGGCATACACAAAGGTCTAGCAACAAGAAAGGAAGACTGAGATGCATGTGAGCTTTGAGATGTGCGTTCGAAAGCCAATTTCTTTGCTCGCCGGCTATAAAGAAGCGTTTTTTCCCCCCATCGGTGTGTCCTACCCCAGGCGCTACACCTGCCTTCAGCACTGCTAGAGGCTGGAGGCTGCCAGTAACAGGGAAAGCCCCGAGTCAATGTGGGAACCTCTGTGCCCCATAAAGTGTGGATGGAACACTCGGGACTCTGGGGTTGTTAAAGTGGGGCCAGGCGGGAGTGATGAGCAAGGACTCCGCTGATGAACACAATGAGATAATAGCAACTGGAAGACAAGATTCTGAGGTACGAATTTTAAGATTTTTGTAATGTGACAAAACAATTTCTACAGTCTTTTTTTGCTCCGCTAACTGGATGAAATAAGGGCATGGAGAAAAGTGTCTGCCTCAGACTCCATAGTCTGGCATCGGGTAGAAACGTGTGGATTTTCTGAAGACACACCGTCTTCTATTTGTAATAAAGCATTAGTACTAAGAAAAATATTTTGAACCCCAGAATAAAAAAGTTCACAGGAAACACAGAGGGTACAAAGATGTGCACTTGATGACAGGAAACCGACTGAGCGCTCAATCGGACAACTCTTGGAGAGATGTCAGATACGGTGGCCTAAAAACACCTCTGCAGGCCACGGGGAAGGCGCTGTGGCAACATGGCCTGTCTGGTGAAGCTGGGGGGGTGGGTACTGGGTTTCCCTCAGAGACAACCAGAACAAGAGAGAAAAATACACAAAAACATCCTGATCTAAAAAAAAAAAAAAAGGAATGTAAATACTCAAGTTCAATCACCTACGGAAATCAAATATGGCCGAAGTGGCCGGCGTCTCCCGAGTGAAGACAATGCACACTGCCGATGCCGCTGAGCGTCATGTGCCTGTGGTGAGGCCAGGGCACGCCGTGGGCCGCCCACCCTGAGCTCACACACTTGTGAGTGCCAGAGACACTCCAGGAATGACTTTCTAAACCATATGTGCTTAGCCCGTGTGTGGAAGGGGGTAGTTCACAGAGTCACGATGAAAGAGGTTTTATTATGACTTTCACCCAGGTGGTCAGAGTGTGAAGCTAAATATATTTCCTTTTTTTCATCTCCTACCTATTGTGCCGCTGCTTTAATCACACTGAGAAGCACACACATGCCCGGCTCCCGACCCCCCGCGTGGAGGCCAGGCTCTGCAGAGTTCCGGTCCTCGCTGTGTGCGGACTGCCCGGACACACAGAGCACGCGTCCTTCCCGTGCGGTGACTTCTGGGGGTTTGTGCTCTTGTTTCCCAGCGCCAGGCACCATGGCTCGCACACACCCTGCTCGCTTCGGAATAGCCCTGAGGTGTGGGACCGCCCGGCGTACGTCCGGGACAAAGCAGAGCGGAGGTAAAAAGCGATGATGACGAGACTGGTGCGGCAGCGACGGAGCGCGCAGACGCCCCCCAGGGCGGCCCAGCAGACACCAGCAGCCGCCCGGAGCCAGGCGAGCTGGCGCGCAACACTTGTGCACAAATACAGTTGCAGCCAGTATGTTGAGAGGTTTGTTTTTAACATGTAAATGCCTTTTCCTTTCTAGGTCTACCCCTGACTCTCCAGAAGAGACTATCAGCAAATCCTGAGTTTTTTAAAATGAAAGCAAAACAGCAGGGCAGCGGAGAGAGGAGTTTCCTTACCTGCCGGCAAAGCCATCTCTGGTTGAAATAATTCTGTGTTAAATATTGTATGATTCAACGAGTCCAAATGAAACAACTGCCAAAAAATAAAGAAAAAAAATTGAAGCATTTCCATCATTATTTTTCCATGGCTGTATTAAATCTGGACATAGGGACACTTTTAACATGACGACAGGAATCAAAACCTACGTCAACACCTAAAATTTGCAAATATTTTGACTCCGGATAGTACAGCCCCTTGTGACGCAGCTACGCCCCCGCAGGTCCAGCGGGACCGCGGCCTTGCAACCAGCTGAGCCACTTAGAAAAAAGCCCCAGGCCAGCTCAGCCAGCTCGCTTGTCTCGTCAACGCCAGGGGTGTGTTTGTCACACGGGGAGACTCAGTCCATGTTTGCTGAGTGAGTGACCTGAAACATGCCTTCTCAGGAACATGCCTAAACACGGCCTGAGAAAGCAGTATTCTGTGAACCTAAAGGTTTCAGCAGAAGGAGCCGACGGCGGTCCAGAGCACTCTGCAGAAGACCAGCTGCAAGGCGGCCGAGCTGTGCTCTGTCCTCCTTCACGGCCCTGCACTTACAGGCATCTGGAATTAGCAGGCCGGAGGCTCCATCAGGTCACCGCGTCCCAATCCCCAGAGCCCCAGCGTGGTCTCAGAGCACGAGGGATTCTGCCCTCGACTGTTGGGGCGGCCCTGGAAAGTGGACTCAGGGCTGTGAGTGAGCAGCGGGAGACGTGACTGTGGAGAGCCGAGTGACGGGACCCAAGGAATATGGGAAGCCTAACAGCTCAACGAGGCAAGGCAACGGAAACTTCGAGAAGGGAAGCAGCCCTGCCAACACCTGACTTTCGACGCCTGCCCTTCAGGCTGCACGGAGAAAAGCGTGTGTCCCGGGGCCCCCATGGGCAGCAGCGGGAGACCCCAGGTGGCACCGGCACGGGAGCACGCTTTCTCAGCTCGGCACGTGGCTGGGGAGTGACCACCCCACAGGAAGGTGTCTCTCTTCACTCTGTTTGTTCGGGACTTTGGCTTCTGTGAGAGTCTGATACGTGCTTCCACCTGCATATGTCACCTGTGTGAAACGTCTGGGGCAGCACAGCGGCCATCTTTCTCTCCGCACCACAAGTGTGCCAGGGTGGGGTGCAGAGCGCCACGGTTTTGCAGTTTACACCTTTGCTGGCATACGGTGCTGTCCCTGGACACCCCAGGCCTAGGGCAGTGCGCTCAGGAGCGAGCAGCATAGGGATCGCACCACGCCTCCCTCCCACACAGGTGGGTGTGTAGTCTCAGGTGGGGGCAATAAAAGCACCCCGCTCCCTGCTGAAGGATAAAGTTCACAATACTGCTTACTGTCTGCTGAAAAGGAACAGGGATGCAAAAAGGCCATTGTGAAAACAGCCCCACCCAACAGAGGCGTTCTCAGGGCAGGGCTCCCCCTCCCGCCCCCCCCTCCCAGCAGGCCCGGGGCAGCACACAGGGCTGGGCCAGCGCACAAGGCCACACAGCTTGAGGCAAGAGCGCAAATTTCACCCCTCAAAGGACCTCGCCCCTCAAAGGTCACCGTCAGAGCAAGCCGCACCCCTCCTGGCACGCACAGTGCCCACATGAGACAAACTCCCGGTAAGCTCTCTGGGCACTGAGGATGTCACGGCTGGAGAGGACAGTCCAGGCACCACGCGGTGCCAGCACCGCTGCCTGTCAGGGACAGCACATCAAGGCCACAGGCCAGACTTGGGCTTTGACCTCAGGAGCAGCCAGAGGCCTTTCCTGCGATCATCAAAGAAAAGTCTGTCGATGCCGCCTCTGCCAATGTTTTTGCCGCGAAGCCCAGCAGGAGCACGTAAGGAGGCGGGCAGGTGGCCTCGTAGGCAGCCAGAGAGCATGGCGCCAGGCACCCCTCTGCTCGGAGGAGGCTTGCTGGAGCCCCGCGAGTGGATTTCACTTTTGGTTTTATCTTTCAGGCTGATGATTTGCACAAACTTGGGAAACCCATGCTGAAGGTGGTTGGCTGAAGCTCTAGTGTGAAATGATCATGAACTCTGCATAGGCTGTCCTGGGGCCTCCCCCTTCATCCCCCCCAACCCAGCTGAGGGCAGGGGCCTGCCCAGGGTCAGCTACCCGGCCTTCCTGTGGAAAGTCCTCCCTGACTCTGCTCTCCCAGGCATTCGGGACGCCACCTCAACCTCACCCCAGGCCGCGCAGGCGGCTCGGGCGCTCTCTGGCGGAACGGAAGTTCCCGCAATCAGGGTCCTCTCCTCAGTCACTGTTCTGCCTCTACCACAGCCCGCGTTCAGCTACGCAGTCAGGCCTAGTCAGTGACGAAACTGCGTGGTCTGAACACTTCCTAAGACTCATTTCACTGAACATTAGCATTGCTGTTTACTCTGCAACTGTAAGTCCCAGACACGTTGTACACACGTAGAGAGAAAAGCAAAATGTCACCACCAACAAAGCCTTACTGGATGCATCAGCACTTCCACAGACCTGAACGTTTTCAAAGTTCAGGCAGGCGAGGCCCAGGTATCCCCTGAAAACCGTGAGCATATTCATAGAGCACAGTTTATGCTTTGAAAGCGCAGTCACTGCCCAGGAAGTGGGGGTGGGGCGGGACAGCCTTGGGGCGGCTCCCCGCCAGAGCCCGCAGCCACACGGGCGCTGACTGAAAGATCTTCAACGTCTGAGCCAAAGGTCTTCTCGTGGTGCCACCCCACCTCCTGATTCTACTAACTGGAAGTGTTAGGTTATGCTCCCTCCTCCGCCCCCAGAATGTCAAGACCTAACTGCCAGTGGCCGTGAGCGTGATCTTGGGAGAGGGACTGAGCAGAGGGCTCGGACGAGGCCGGCCTGCAGCTGGGCCCGAAGTGAGTGACTGGGAGGACAGGGGAGAGGCAGGCGCGCCGGGGAGAGGCCGCAGGGCAGGAGTGCTGAGGCTGGGGCCGGGGCTGCCCGAGACGGGACGGCAGCAAAGCTCCCTCGGAACACCCACTCAGCCCTCATCGTGACCTCGGACTTGCACGCTCCAGAACAGTGAGGCAACAGCCAGCCAGCACGGGGCCATCGGCACTGAAGGCCTTCACGGGACGGCAGGTGCAGAATGGCATTTGGTGCCTGTGCGGCTGGATGTCCGGGCCCTGCACAGAGGGGCCTTGGACACGCCGAACAATCTGAAAGAAATGCCCCCACCCCAATGTCAGAGTCGTCCTGATAGTTACCATTGTTGCCTCTATTTTAAAGTTAAGTACAATGCCAAAAAACGATGAATGGGATCATAATACTTACTTGCTCATGGCCCCCCAAATATGGGTCGTCTTCTGCCATTCTGGAGCTGTACATCAAAACAAAACAAAGCAAAACTGTTAAGACCGGAATGGACCGTAAAAATGCTGCCATGTGGGGCCTCCCTGGTGGTGCAAGGGGTGGTCTCAGCACTATGAGTCTGTCCGCAGCCCCTGCAGCACGAGTTCGGTGCCCGGGCAGGGAGTGACCCTCAGGGCACAGCAGACCCCTCCTGTCTCCCTGCTGCTCCCTCAGCAGCAGACTTCAGTAGATCCGCCTGTCTGCTCCCCGCTCTGCCTCTGGTGACTCCCCCTCCCCTCCACACACCTCTGGCTCCACCTCAGCCCTTGTACGCATAAATAAATCTTTTTTAAAAAGTGCTGCCTTGCAGAGTAAACTGAATCACTAGTAGGGTGAATATGATCCTGTGTTAGAGGAATCTATACCCAACAGCAGGGAGATCGCATGACACGGAATCACCATTCACGCACACGCCTGAGTCCTGGAGTTGAGAACAAAAGGCTGTTTTCGGGACAAAGCCACGTACACGTGGGTCTCTGAGGCCCCTTTCCGTCACCTCAGGACGTCCAGGGCTGAGACCCTGAGCTTCTCACGGGCAGCGCCGCCCGGCCTGTCATGGACTCTGTGTCCACCTGGTGCTGCCAACAAGCTTGTTCCCTGCAACGCCAGAGGAGCAGCCAGTGGGGCCATTCTGGAGGGAAAGGGTCTGGCTGCCCTGCAGAACTGGGAGCGCCGAGGCACGCTCACCCCCGGCGCCTCCGGCATCTCCAGAGTCAGAGCGGCGCAGAGACAGCGTGCTGCCTGCAGCACACATGGGAGCAGGCGCCATCGGGCTGCAGCATGAGAGCTGATCAGTCCCGGCATGCCTGTGGCCGGCATGCCTCGCTCCATTGCCCCGGGAGAGCCAAGGCTCACGGGCCAGACAAAGACAGTATCGAAGTCACACGTCATTTTGGATTTGCTCAAGAAACACCCTTGCTGTTCTAATACAGCTTAACTTACATAAATTTACTTAAATCAAAGTTTACATCTAGCACATTAAAAACTAGGAGGCTGGAAGGAGCGAGGCTGACAGTGAGGCTGAACCACGCTGCCCCTCCCCAGTGAACTTGGATACGAAGCACTGGGAGTGCACCCGGGGACTGTGCGGGGAACAGCGACACCCGTGACTTCAGGGCAGAGCTGGCCTGGTCCTGCGGGGCGGGACCCAGCGGAGGGGCCTGGAGCGCGGCAGCTGCAGACGGCACTGTGGGCAGCAGCTCCGCGCTGTCCTGGCAGGAGCGCCCCACGCACAAGGGCACCACCAGGGTCTGTCCACAGCAGGGTGGCAGCAGGGTCTGGGCGTGGCTCCTCCTCGCGTGTGTTTTCTCTTTTCCGAGGTGGACGCAGGTAGGGAGGGTGACGTGGACGTGCTGAGCTGGGCAATGTAGGGAGACACGCTGGGGATCCATTACAACAGGTCAGCCCTCACGCCATGAACGCACCCGACACTCCAAGAGGCACAACGGCCCCCCGAGAGGACCTGAGCGCAGACGACCCTCTACACCCAGCCCTGTGGGATGGGCGCCGGGGGAGGGGAATGGAGCTCCTGGAGGCTGAGACACGGGCTCGCTGTGGCCTGTGTCTTCTGCTGTCAGGCGGAAGGTCTGCTGGGCCACTCCCCGTCAGCAGACGCGCCGAGCTGTGTTAGCTGGCCAACACACATCCCTCGAGAACCGGCCCAGTCCTGACAGGGCTTCCTGCAACCTGGGCTTTTGCCCACGCTCGGGCGTGTGTCTATGGTAAAGAATCACTAGCATGATGGTCGTGACTCAACAAACCCAGAACATGGACACGGTGTCTACTGAGACATAGCGCTGGCGCCTTACGGGAGAGGCCTTGTTCTCAGTAGCACACTGGAGCCCAGACTGCCACGCGAGGGCCAGGGTCACCCTTTCCTGGAGGCTTCCCATTTATCGGGGCGACTGGAGTCCTTTCCAGCACGCTCGGCCACAGCCCTCAGAGCGAGGGGCCGGCCGGCACCTCTCTGCCGCCGGCTTGGGATATGCTGAAACCTGCGTGTGGTTTCCTGACCTTTGAGTGCATGGATCTAACACAAAGGCGACCGACCCCTAAGTTCAAAACAAGTAATTCACGAACCGGCGCAGGGCTGTCACCAGGAACACTGCGGTCATCAAAATCCTGATGGAGTCGCATCGGACAGCGCTCAGCAGGCCCCGTTAACCCGCCGACCCCCCATGCGCCACGCGGTGGCGGCCACCGCTCAGCCCTCGTTGCTGACTTCACTGTGAACCCAGTGCCTGGGTGATGTCGACGCCCATTCACAATCTAAGAGTAAAATGTCAAAAGAAACCAAAATTACTTGGAAAGGATGAATCAGAGTCCAGCGGTATTTGCATTCAGTGTAAAACGGGTTTTAGCTCATGGTTCTGAGAGATGAGCTAAGCTCTGGAACTGCAGGATCAGGAGGCCCGGGAAAGCCCCGTCTGCCCCCCGTGCCCCTCCCCCAGCCCTCCCCTGCTCTCCCTCAGGGCAGTTCTGTGCTTTTGAGGAAGGGCCGAGAAGGGAAACCTGGGCTGGCTGCCCAGCGCCCCCTCAGCGGCGCCCCCAGTCTGTCCTTGTGGTGGGAGGAGAAGCAGGAAGTGCGGCCGCCCACCCGTCCCCCTGCTTGTCCCCCTGGCCCCGGGGCGGGTGATGACCCCCTCAAGGCGCCCCACTGGCCCGCCTCGCCCGCCTCAGACCCGAGCCCACTCAGCAGTCAGCCGTCGGGGACTGGGGTGCTTCAGCTCAGCAAAGTGGCTTCACCACCCGCCACAAGGTGCAGGGGGAGGAACAGAATTTTCAGTGGCACCCAGAGGTGCAGGCGGGCCCCGGGGATGAGTCTCTTGTCAACCACCGAGGGGTGGTTTAGCGCTCAGCCAGACGGCAACGAGGGGAGCTGAGACAGCGCCTCCTCAGCACAGCTCTGGGGGACAGGCCCACGGAGCAGGGGCGCTGGAGCGCGCCCACGGGGGAGCCGGGGTGGGGCGTGGGGCAGGGATGGTGCAAGCGCCTTTGCATGCAGCTTCTCACCCAGAAACCTACGCCGGTGGGTGACACGCTCAGTGTGCAGGAAACAGGCGCGGCGCTCCCGGGCCGCCCAGCTGACCTGATGGGCGTTTGCCTGTGGCTGCACTGCAGTCACTGCCGCGCTCATGACCTCGAAATAACTGTGGGGGTCTACGTGCAGCCACACGGGAGCTTTTGCTCCCGACATTGGTCACGTTCCATGTTTTCACTTTCTAACGCGGCGATCTTGTGGGAGACACACGTTTGACCAGGATCAGGACAGTGAAACCCGGCCCTGAATTTATAGCGCAGCTGTGACGACCTGAACAATTCCGTGGCACACGGTGTGGACAGGAAGCGTGAACCAGTCAAGCTTTTCTGACACGGCTGGAATCCTCAGAGTAAAGAGGCTGGGGAAACGCACCTCTGGCTGGCCACTACCCGGCTCACTGCTGAGAGGTGGGGGTGGACTCAGAGGCCTTTACCAGCGCGGCCGAAGCCTTCAAGTGCTTCTAGAGGAGCGTGCTGGCTCTGCCCACGTGCCGCCGCTGGCGTCGTGCTATCGGCAGAGAGCGGGTGCAGCTTCCTCGTGAGCACCTGCCGGGGCTGGGAGGCAGGTCCGGCTCAGGGCACAGGCCGCCTGCCGGGCCTGCAGACGCACGCCAGCCACAGCCCACAGCGCCCGGCATGGAGCAGGCGCGGCCAGCGCCAGCAGCGGGTGACGAGCTGTGGAGGGACGCGGTCAGGCATTCTGAGAACACCGAGGCCTGCCCGCTCTTCCCCAAACTGCCTGTGCGGGCACACCCCCGTGCCCCCACCCTCTCCTCCTGGGGTAAACGTCAGCCTTCTGCTTCCAGTGACACGCGGCAATGTCAGAGACGCCACTTGTCGTCAGGACTGGGCACCCCGCAGGGCTGAGAGCCGCTGCCAGCCACCCGACGCCCAGGCCAGCGCCCCACCAACTAAGGTAACCCGCTGTCACCCTGCAGCCCGAGGCCCTAAGGATGTGTCCCACCAGGGTGAGCCCCAGGCCGGCCGAGGAGACGCCTCCTGGGCCAGTGACTCCTTCTCTTGCCTCGGCCCTTGGCTGCAGGGGGAGCAGAGCCTGGAACGGCGGCCAGAGCCCAGGGAATTCTCCTCTGACAGCAAGCGTGGAGGCGGGAACGCCGCCGCGAACGGAACGCAGCGGCTGTTTTTTTCAAATATCCCCTTTGGTAAACTTCACAGGCCAGAGGAGAACGAAGGCGACTTCTCCGACGCACTCCGCAGGCAGCACCGCTCTCCCGGATGCGTGCAAGAGCCGTGCGCACAGACTCAGGCGTGCTGACCGCTCCCCGGCGCTCCCGCCCCGCCAGCCAGACATCCACAGCGTGGCAGCTTCTGTGCCAGCCGCCAACGAGCCGCACTGGCCGGGCCGGCCCAGGCGCACAGAGCTGGCCGTGGAATGGAAACATGGGCCAGAGGGCTCAGCAGCTGCGCCACAGCTCAACCTCTCCCCACCCGCCCACCTTGCGGGCCGTGAGCCTCTGACCAAGCCTGAGAGAAGGCGTGAGCCTCCGCCAGGCCCCCCCAGGGCAGCCGGCCCCGCAGGCAGGCCGGGAGCCCGCGGACAGAGTGGGGCCAGCGCCGCTCAGCAGCAGCCCCAGAGGGGGAAGGACGCACGCCGCGCTGGCCAGCGGTGTGGCCGGTTGACAGGGAAAGCGAACGCAGAGGCGAGGGAGCGGGCAGGCGGCGATGCCAGGCGGGGCCGCACGGGCGGTGTTGCAGGAGGCGTCTGGGCTCGGAGCCATGGTCGGGGCCACCAGATGCCTTTTGTTTCCTTTCCCCATAGGACGCTCAGTTCCCAAGCACGCGCCAACACACGCGGTCGGTGCAGACAGCGGCACGCGCAGCGCTGCCCAGCCCACCGGGGGGCCACGCCGCCGCCCACCGGCTTCAAGCAGCGGGCCCGGACGGACCGGCCAGTGAGCGTTCGGCCAC